CCCCCCCCCCCCCCCACGATTGTCCCTCGAGGGGTCGAACTGAGCCAAGATTTAATTAAAGTGCCCCGGCTGCAGGGACGATGCGTGTGGAGGCGTGAAAGACCCTGTTTGATTACCTTCCTACTGATTACCCACCCCTACTGTGTCTACAGAGCCAATCTACAACTATTGTTAATGTACTGGTGTATCTTCATTATTTAAAGTGGTAACAGAGGTATACTGATGAAATTAAAAGGGACTTTGGCAAGCACTGAAATCGTGCCCCTGTCGAAACAAATGACACCCCCTTCAAATTATTTTTCTCTGAGGGGTGACCCTTTAAGTGACACTTAGGATACGAGCCACTCCCTAGATAACCTCCTGAGTGGCAAGTCAAGCCACATATTAAAGAGGCTCTCTTATATTAGCTTGAGTACTTTTTTATGGCAGCAACTAATAATCAAAATGTAACATGCAATAACATATGTGATTCATTATTCATTAATGAAAGCTTTGTTGCTATTTTGATTGAAATGTTACAGATATGTCAACAAAATGTTGCGTTTATAGAAGAAGATTGGACTTTTACGATGTTGTTTTCTGGGATGCTACCTCCAGAAATCGAACTGAATTACCCCCAAATTTTTAAAAATACTTTTTTTTATTTATATGGTGTGTAGTTTCTGTCTTACAACTTTTATCAAATTCACTAGGGCAGAAATGGCACTTCCACAATATGAGAGAGCGTCCTTAAATGTGAGCTAATACTCTCACCCCTGAGATTTATACCAGAACACTTCTGAGCATCAGCAAGAGATGTTTCAAGTTATATATAAAAAGAGGATGGCAATGTATTATTTGATATACATACCCAGACAAAGTGCTTGCATTTCACCAAAAAAAAAACCCAAAACAGAATAAAGCATATATATATCGGCATGGCCACATCACATCTGTAGATATGTATCGTAAAATGACCTTCTTCATCTATCCTGGCTCCAACTCTCCCTCCCTTCAAGATCAATATCACAGGGCTATCTATAAATCACAGAGGATAGGAAACCAAGTTTGAAAGATACAAAGCTGATACATCAGAAGAATTGACTTCTTTATGTCAAGACCTTTAACGTGGACTTTATGAGGACATAATCCTACAGGGTCCATTTAATATTCATGGTATTCCTCAGGTAAGAATCAAGACCAATATATTGTAAGTTCCCTTATGTCTATCCCACCTGAGCCCACCTGAGCCACTGGTCACTCAGGCTAGTAGACCTAGGAAAACTACTGTTGCAAAACATACAATACTAGTCCAAAGATAAAATCTATAGATCATGGAAGGTAAATATAAAACTATTCCTAAAATTGCCACTAGTATGACTGGGCAAGCACTTGCGATAGATTTATTTGTTAACCAGTCTCAGCAGTTAAATCTACCAACCAAATGCCTTGAACTAGTAGAGCTTTTAAACCTTGCAGAAAAAAAGAGCATTGGGTAGAAATAAAGATCCTATAACATTTGCTGTTAATACTGACATTATGAGGACATAACACTACAGGGCAGGTCCATTTAATATCTAAGTGATTACAGGTGTTCCAGGTGTTTCTCAGGTAAGAGTCAAGACGGAGACATAATATCCCCCTATGATCCCCTATGTCCATTTCATCCCTATGCAATATCACCTATATCCAAGTCCAATCATATTTCGCCACAGAAGAGGGCATAGCTTTCAATGAAGAACCAAATGGATCTGCAATTGCATAAAGATCTATTCATATCACCCACTGTCAAGTCCAATATACAACATGTACCTTTCAATGGAAGACGCACTGAGGTTGATGAAACATATATGATATGTGGGATAAATACATAGTGCT